GTATAGTTGGGGGGTGTAGGCCAAAAATTTCCGAATGACGAAAAAAATTTCCGAATATTTCATGGGGCATACGAAGCCACAAAAATGTTTGCTATCCGGAAAATGAAGATGCAATTTACAAACAAAAATACACATAGTTTACGCAAAGACATATTACAGAAACATGCAGTGCCGTAGGAAGCTATTTTTATTGGGGGTGGGAACGAGGGCTGAAGGCCCGAGGAAATTTTTAAATTTAGATTCTCTGAAATGCCATTTCCTGGACTTTGGGGAAGTTTTGACAGAATTCTGATGGTCAGAAAACGGAGTTTTAGTATGATATTTGTGACGTTACTCTGAGTATGCATCCACAGCGGGCAAGCTGAAAAGTTTGCTTGGCCACGGTGGGAGTCGAACCCGCAACCTTTGGGATACTAGTCAATGTTCTGCCAACTGAGCTACGTGGTCAAGTCGGTTCGAGTTGTTAATAGAGTTTTAGTATGTCGACATTTACAATTTGCTTACAATTTAGTAGAACTAAATGGGCGAAGGCGTATTTAATTAACTATATATTACAGGAAAGAGTATAGGTAATATGATTCTTGCGGTTTGTCATGGATAATGTAGCCGCTTAATAAAATTAATCAATAGACTTTTCCCCTTATGAGTGAAATTTTGATCTAGACAAGCCTAAGCAAAAATTTCATCACAGCTTGAAAGAGCATCACAAAATTAGTAATATTCCGAAGTTTCGTTGCGAAATGTTGTAAAATGCAGATAATACAGCCTTGCGTCTTGCGAAGTTTGCCGTTTTTCAGTCATTGTATTACAAATGGAAATTGATAATCAGTTTGATCAAATTGATTATCAATTTCCATTTGTAATGCAAAATGACTGAAAAACGGCAAACTTCGCAAGGCTATATTATCCGCAGTTTACAACATTCAACGAAACTTCGGAATATTACTAATTTTGTGATGCTCTTTCAAGCTGTGATGAAATTCTTGTCCAAGCTTGTCTAGATCAAAATTTCACTCAAATGGGGAAATTAAGGTCTATTGTAGAGGTGTGCAAATCCGATCCGAATCCGATCGGATTCGTTCGGATTTCGGAATCAAAATGTAAATTTCGGATCGGATTGATAAAGTTGATTGTAGTCGGATCGAACTTCGATATCCGAAATAAAATAAATTAATTATAATCCATGCATTATCGCAAGAATTAATTATCCATACATTTATCAAACTATCATCGCGGTTTTCGCTACTTCAATTGGACGTCACTTTGTCAGCTTCTTGACATGTATTTATTGCTTTTATATTTATTTGGTTAAATATTTCAACTTGAATGAGAAATTTATTTTATAAGAATTCTTCGAATCGGATCGAATTGGAATTCTTTTTCAAAACTCGGATTGGATTCGGATTAGACAATTTCGAATCGGATTTTAAACATTAGGCAATTGTCGGATTATAAACGTCCAATCCGATCCGATGCACATCTGTAGTCTATTGTCAGTATTTTAAAGGTATATTATTTAAATGACAAAGGTGTGCATGATTTTGAAAAAAGAATGATTATCAGCAAATTATTCTATTAAGGGCTGCTGCCCCCAGTCCCCGGAGCCCCGACTGCTACGGCCCTGAGAAGTAATAAACCGAAAAACATTTACCGATTTACGATTTGTTTTACGTTATCCATGTAAATGCCATGATTTCGTAAATCAGTTTATACCAATGGTTTATACTGACAATACCATTTTATAATATTTTCTCTGTTTAATTAATTTAAACAACTAAAATTTTGTTATACTATTACTGCCGTAATTTTCCGAATGGCCAACCCGATTTTCCGAATATGTTAATTCTACAATACCCCCCCCCCCTCGCTACGGCCCTGCATATGTGAAAATTATCGCTTTTCAATTATCGCTTTTCTGTAAACATTATCGCTTTTCAAAGACTGTCCTTTATATAATAAACAGAAAATACAAGGGCGCTTGGAAATACCAGATTTACTTCTCGTGTTGAACATATCTCAACACTCGAAATAAATCTGCATTTCCGCGCACCCCATGTTTTATTCTCTATTTAATAATATACATGACAAAAATTATGCAGTCACTCCTAAAAACTCACAAATATTATTTCTGCTGGAAATTGCTGTATCTTATTGGCCATCCTTGTTATTGTTTCATATTTTAAGCCAATCAGAAACAAATCTTGGCAATCTGATAGGTCAGCGAAATAAATTGGTCGCGAAAAACTTGGACAGTTCCTACATTTTTACTGTTATGTTATCATAATTTTGAGTGCTAAACTCCCCTTGAAACTGTAAAATTTGATGTCGCTCCGATGCGAATCCGGTATCGTGTAACTGGGGCCTAAAAGTTTTACCTTTTCCTGCGTTTTCTTCAAATACTTCAATTTCCTGGTAACCATAAGCCAAATTCTCTGATGTGTAGAACGACTGTACTGTCATATGCATAAAATTTACTTTTCGTGCGGAAAAACGAAACGATTGCCATTGATCTGTCTGCAAACTTAATTGTATCTGAAAATTATAAAACAAATAGCATGAGGCACTGAACATTGGCGGGTTTTAGGGCCTGGTCATTTTTTTTTTTTTTGGGGGGGGGGTGACAATCCGACAGAGTCACTACGGCCAATTGCAATCAACCGTGAGGCGTGCATAAACTAGTATCCCAAAGGTCGCGGGTTCTATTCCCACCGTGGTCAGGCAAACTTTTCAGCCTGCCCGGTGTGGATATACACTCAGAGTAACATCACAAACATCATATTCACCTGAGTACATAACACCAACACGCACACAAAAAATATCATGATCATAGAACACATTGGTATCGAAGGTACTAGACTTCGATACTGTTGAGCTCAACAGACTTGTTACAAGTTGTTCCAAAAACTTGTTATCGTCCTGCAATTCAATAATTTGTCAACAAGTTGTGAGTGACAACCTTGTAGCAACTTGATAAAATAACAGCATTGTTACAACTTGTTGACAAGTTGGCTACAAGCCTGTTGCGAACACATCTTGTGGACAAGCTGTGAAATTTTTACGTGTGTGGTGCTATGCATTCAAATTCCAACAATAGCTTGATTTCGACAAAAGGTCTCGTATTTATGGCAGGGTGTGGCACAAGAAAAACGGGTTTGAGTAAACAACATTTTGAGTGAGTATAAGGTTGAGTAAAATCATAACAAAACAAAACAAAAAACTCAAAGGTTGGGTAATAAAAATTTATTGTCATTTCCAAAGAAAAGCAATGTCAACAGTCATATGTCAATACAATATGTAAATCATCAGAGTCACTATCTTGATAATTTTGCTATTTCTCAGGAGGCAAATGGTGTCTCCAAAGAAAGTACATTTTCGCAAAACATAGCCTTAATCATTTCTTTTAATACTATGTAAATAGTTGTTTTGTTTAACAAATTATGGGCAAAATTAAAATAACCAAAAAGACATCCCCCCTCCCTCCCGGAGTGATGGTAGCAGGTAGGATTTCTCAGAACATACCTGAATTGATCCAGCTCCAGTAGTGAATCTAATTGTCATGTCTTTAATTTGCTTGTAGTCCGTAGAAAGCTGTTTAAAACGCATTTTATTCACACGAAACAACTTGTGAAAATGCAGTTGAAACCAGTGACCAGTGCCATGACTAGCACTTGTCTGCCACTGATGCAGTCGCGCTCCATCCGCTAATCCGTCAACTGCAGCGGAACATGACCCCCCACTAGCATCGGAACATACGGCTTTATTAAACGATGCGGTACGTGTTAGGGATACCGCCGAACCTTGGAGCTCATCTAAACGAGAAAACAGTTAGAAACTTAGTTGCTTTAGTCCCCAGTTACACAATATCGGATTACTCTAGTCAGGGTTCTCCTTACAGGGGGGTGGAGGGGGTGGGGGGGGACCCCCCCCCACCTACACACGCAAAAACCCGACATCTTGTAACAAGTCTGCCAACAAGCCGTCAACAAGTTGTGCTGCATGCATTGCTTGTTCCAAGTTGTCAACAAATTTGAAACAAGATGTTGACAACTTGTAACAAGCTTAATGGCATTATCAGATTTGTTGCAAGGTTGTTCCAACAAGTCCGATACAGTCATGATATAACAATATTGTTACAACCTTGTGTTGTCGACCTTGTAACATTCTTGTTATATCATGGCAGAACAACCGTGTAACAAGTCTGATAATAAGTTCTCTGTACGTTTGCATGGCGATAAAATATATAATAGTTTTTGTTTGTGGAAATCGCACCACGTAAATTTATTAATGCAAAGCTTTCGATCCGTAAGCCCGGATCTTCATCAGTGCTAATAATATGTTATTATTAGCACTGATGAAGATCCGGACTTACGGATCGAAAGCTTTGCAGTAGTAAATTTACGTGGTGTTTCCACAAACAAAACTATTATAAGTCTGATAATGCCATCAAGCAAGATCCAAAAATAAACATTTTCTGTGTGATTCAAATACAACACTTCCCGCATATGTAGATTTCAGAGAACGTATGGCGCCGTACATTGTGATAAACTACAATGTCGGCACAAGACAATCTCGACTTGTAAAACGCTTTTGGAATTTTTGCAATAAGAAAAACTATATGGCATTCCAATATATAAGAGGACAAAAATCTCCTGCAAGATGTAAGATTTTCCTGCGAAGATATTTTGTTAAATCCACCCGATCGTCGTAAACTTAATTCATCCTTTCGTTAACTTAAGTTATTCAAATATTTCTAAACGTACCTGGTTGATAATAAGTGGGGCAAGAGCCCAGGGCAAATGGAAGCTGTAAAAGAACAAAGAAACACTCGTGAATGCCTGTACAAAATTACGTAGTTTTAAACCGTTGCAAAAAGTAAAATTTGCGTCGAGAAGAGTGCTTATCTATCATGCAAACACAACATTCTCCGGGAACTCCAATTTCCTCCTGTAGCAACACTGGCGTTACAAGGAATGTTCCTCTAAGCTGGGAAAATTGCTTAGAACTGACAACCATTTAAGTTAGTACTGTAGATAGTATAATTTCTATATTTAAAACACCATTTCTAATCTACTTTAACTACACGTCATTCAAATTTCTCAAATCAGAGTAAATTGTTTACAGTTAAAACGTCGTACCTTTGCCTCGTAGAGGAGAAAAATTGTCGTACAAAGCGCCAAAAGGCCCTTCATAATGGAAAGCCAACACCTAACTCTTAATCCTGCAAAACGTTAACACCAATTCCCTTGAAAAAATAACTTGAAAAACACAATTAAAAAGCTTTGAAATTCGGTTGCACCAGCAAAGCGAAATGTCGTACAACATTAAGCCGTTGTTAACGGTTCGAAAAATTAAACAGTAGGTTGCAATAGTGTGGTTTACAGTAATGGGTAAACTCGATTATGATTGGTCGAGCGTGTTTTTGTGAGGGACGAGTGTTTAAGCCGTTGCTTAGCGAAGCGAAATTTGCGGTCAGGTTCATATAACAATGGCAGGTACCAGAACGGGACGCGCAAGCGTGTGAAACCTGGGAGATATGTTTAAAAGCCCCTTAACTTCGGTTCAGGTTCATATAACAATGGCAGGTACCAGAACGGGACGCGCAAGCGTGTGAAACCTGGGAGATATGTTTAAAAGCCCCTTAACTTCGGGTTGGGGGGTCCAGCCCAGGTAGATCTAGCCTCGTCTGGTTTTAGAAGAATTTAAGCTTGTTTAATGGACAAGGGAGGGGAGCAATTAAGAAAGATCTCAACTTTCCCATGCGTATACATATGAAAAACACTCAAGTGGCATGCAATCGTGAAGTAAGCCAGTGTTTGACTTTTAAATGAATGATTCCAGCTCTAGACTGAATTTTGATCTGGGCAAGAAGAACAAAATCCATCACCACAGCTAGAAAGAGCATGTTAAAATTAGTAAAATTGCAAAGTTTGGTTGCGACATGTTGTAAAATGAGGAAAATATAGCCCTACGAAATTTGCAAATTTTGTATTAATTTGTATTACGCACGGGAAAATGCACCACAGTGGTGCATTTTCCCGTGCGTAATACAAATCAATAAAATATTTTCCTTATTTTACAACATTTCGCGGCCAAACTTTGCAATTTTACTAATTTTAACATGCTCTTTCTAGCCGTGTTGATGGACTTTGTTCTTCTTGCCTAGATCAAAATTTAGTCATAGCTGGAATCACCCATTCTATATTGCAGAATTTTAAATCCCAAGGTCAGGGCTGCAAATAAATATTTGACTTGACAGGACATTTGTCCGATCACTTTTAATTTTGGTCGGACATAACTTGAATTTGGTCGGACATATATACGTCACAAGATATATATGTCACAAGACAAGTATGTATAGCCATTCCAGCGCAACGTTAAGTAAAATGCTAGAATGCCTCGTAAATTTAATTGCAAAATACAAATTGAGTGAATTTGCAATCGGATTTTGTCACAGCAAAAAAATGTGTATAATGTGACAATTTTTTTGTGTGATCGGACCAATGTCCGATCAAAATCACTTTTCCTCGGACATTTGCCAAATTTAGTCGGACATTGTCCGATGTCCGACAGTAATTTGCAGCCCTGCAAGGTGAATGATCGATGTACGGTACACTAATTGTCGGGTGAAATCACAAATGCCTGTAACATGACATCAATATTTGTAACTCTATTTATATATAAACACAGCAGGTCATACATTTAGCCAAGTTTACTTTGGATGAAAATTCATAAGAATGCATAATTAAACATGCATGCGGCTTTGAACCAGGTGTATTGAAAGTGACTGCCTTAGTGTAGTTGGCGCGGGTTACAGCCGATTTCCAGGGATTTGAAGGATAAAGAAATTTTCTCCATTGTTGGATTGAAATGAGAGAAAGGGAAAATCGTTTATCAAATTCATCCGAGATTCAGGCGGGCTTGACATAAAGAACCACTTATTACTTATTTATAAACTACCCGTACTGTTTGGAAAACACTTATGTACTTGTTACGAGGCAATTTTTTCCAATGTCTCGTATTTGAATGGAAAAGTGCTCAAAACCTAAAATCTTTTTGACGTTCCTTTCAAAATTACTTTCTTTTAGCTTTATTTTGTAGTTTACACAGTTAGCAATCTTTTTAAACGTAACTGGCGGCTGAGAAACACAAAATACTAGTTAAATATTGTCAATTATAAAATACAATTATCATTGATGCTGTAAAATTGACGCCATATTTATACAGCAAAATAAGCAAAACTTACTGAACTTCAGACATCGTTTTCTCTTTGATGCACCATCTAAAATCTCTTCATTTTAGCCATGATTTGCAGATAAAGCACTAAACATACTTTTTAAGTTTGTTTGCCGCTTGCGAACGTAACGAAAATTTTAAAAATTGAATATAGTCATGCCCAAGTGGAAAAGTATATTCATTAGTTTTAAGCGTTTCTTACGTAACATACAGTACACAAAAGTTATTCCGAATAAGGAGTGCATAATATTAACACACAATTTATTAAAACTGTTGTATATTTCGAATCTAAATCTGATTCATCTTCAGCAGTGTTTTGCAAGATCTTGCAAAACACTGTTGAAGATCAATCAGATTTAGATTCGAAATATACAGTTTTTACAAATTGTGTGTTAATATTATGCACTCCTTATTCGGAATAACTTTTGTTTTGTTTTGTTTTATACAGTACACCTTTCCCAAAAAGGTCGTTTCAAGGGCCTTCGCTCGACACGTCGAAATTCTCCTTGTACTTTTCAGGTAGTTGCGTCAATCCAAAGATTTCAAATATGCATAACAAAATATTTAACTGTTCGTTCATCTCATCGCTTCATTTTTTACATATAGTCAAAATAGAAAAGTCTGTTCAAACAAATCATGTCTGTGATATTTCCCGGATACTTCATTTAACGTCACACAAACACATTTGACTAACGTTTTTTATACCAGATTCACAACTTTAGATAATGCCTAATTATCATTGACATTGTTCTACACGCGTAAAAATCTCACATCTTGTAGCAAGTCTGCCAACAAGCTTGGAACGGGCTGTTAACAACTTGTAACAACCTTGTTGATATTATCAGACTTGTTACAACAAGTCCGATAGATAATGTATGACAATATCGCCAACCCTGTAACATTCTTGTTATATCATGACTGTATCAAACTTGTTAGAACAACCTTGTAACATACTTGTTATATCATGACTGTATCAAGCTTGTTAGAACAACCTTGCAACAAGTCTGATAATGCCATCAAGCTTGTTACAAGCTGTTAACAGCTTGTTCCAGACTTGATACAACAACTGGGAACAAGCAGTGCGAACACAACTTGTTGACAGCTTGTGAACAGATTTGGAACAACTTGTTTGCAGACCTGTAACAACTTGTGCGTTTTTACGTGTGTAGAACAACAATAACTATAGGCATGCGGGGTAGCAACGATCTAGCCCGCGTGCAGGCCCAAGGGAACTGATAGTGGGCCTGCAAGCAAGGCCCGGTATTTTGTACTTTCCGCGTTCGCCCACGAACGCGGCATTCTGATTGGCTGTTTGCTATTGGATTCTATAATTAGATCAGTGGTTCATCACAAAGGCTCTCGATAAGTTTAAAATTCGAAAATTGATCGCTTTTTTCGATTATAAATGGGACAAGAACAGACTGTTTATTGTTTACTTGAAGGAAGAGATGTTTTTGGCGTTATTGCCAATGGGGATTGCTTGTCGCGAGGTGTTGGAATAGCAACATTACGACTCGGGTAAACTATAGTAACCTTTACTCGAGTTTCATTAATTTCAAACAGACTTGATACGTTATATGTTCCTCAAGAAAATTATCATTTGGTTGATGTTGACTCTGTTCTTGCACTGAAGAAAACAGTGCTTTTCGCGGTGAAGATTTAGAAGCAGTTGCATGTAAGCCTATTCGAAACACTTTGGATTTACAAGGCTTCGCTGAGAGAGCGAAACAGAAGACGGTATTAAATTGCCGTTTGAAACGATCTGGACTCTGAACGCTCTCTTCTTTTGTAGAGTTCTTTTCCAAATAAAATAACTGAAATAAATTTCGTACTTTCCGCCGCCAACAAGAATTGCACACACGATCTGATCTGAAGTGAGACAATTTATTTATAACAATGGCGACAGCGAAGCACACATTATAAATGCTAATGTAGTCGCACGACTTCCCTCACGATTTGAAGTTTGAGACTGGTTTTCTGTTGAAATTCGTCCTAATTTGCCTGTTCCGATTTTAGTTGAAAATGAGCACTTGCAAATTTGGCAATTACTGACTGCGTTGCTTGCTTTTTTGGAGTTAAAACGCACATTTACACATTGTTTATGTTCTGAATAAGCAGAGAAAACCCCGCAACATTTTAATGCGAGTTTGTTTGTTAATATTTGGGTGCTGTCATTGGTTCTTTTTTGACAATTGACGCGCGAATGGGGCGTGTTATGAAAAGGGGCGTTTTACAAAATACCGGGCCTTGCTTGCAGGCCCACTATCAGTTCCCTTGGGCCTGCACGCGGGCTAGCAACGATCTAAAGATCGTTAGCCAAATTTCTCTATTAATACTATATACAGTGTAAATCCGTCAAGACGACCTCCGGATGCAAGCGAGTTACACAATCCGATCATCCGTCTTTAGTTTTTCACCAGAGTTGTACTCAACTGTAAGCTATACTGTATATATTGTTCCTAAATATTAAACATTATTTGTTTGCATGATTCGTTTTACTCACGTGACCACTATCTTGAAGATCCAGAATCTACTGCGTTTGTGTCACGTGGTGGGCTCTAAAGAACAACAAGAAAAATATTTTAGACAATTTTTGCAAATCCGATAAACGGTACAACAAATCGCAATCGTAAAATTTTTGAAAAGTTGTTCCAAATCTGTTCACAAGTTGACAAGTTGCGTTCGCACTGCTTGTTCCCAGTTGTTGTAACAAGTTTGGAACAAGCTGTTAACAACTTGTAACAAGCTTGATGGCATTATCAGACTTGTTACAAGGTTGACGACACAAGGTTGTAACAATATTGTTTCGTCATGACTGTATCGGACTTGTTGGAACAACCTTGCAACAAGTATGATAATATCAACAAGCTTAATTGTTACAACTGTTAACAACTTGTTGACAACTTGTGACAAGCAGTGCGAACACAACCTGTTGACGGCTTGTTGGCAGACTCCCTACAAGATGTGAGATTATTGCGTGTGCACAATTACCATACGCAATTTCTACACAATGCGAGCAGCACGTCAACCTTAGTTAAAAGTGACATGTACTGTATGACTTTAGAATTCTTGGCTTCCACTTAAAACATACCTTGACGTAAATTTGATTGCTAATCACAGCTGCTCTTATGATCAATGCCTAAACAATAAGGACAACAAGATTGTTCCAATTTCACAAAATTTCACATTGGCCCAGAACAGTTATAATAATATGAGATTCAGGATTATTTACTCAAATTTAGAACTACACACGTAAAAATCTCAAATCTTGTAACAAATCTGTTCACAAGCTGTCGACAAGTTGTGATCGCACTGCTTGTTCCCAGTTGTTGCAAAAAGTTTGTAACAAGTTGCTAACAATTTGTAACAAGTTTGTTGATATTATCAGATTTGTTGCAAGGTTGTTCCAAGAAGTTCGGTACAGTCATGATATAACAATATTGTTACAACCTTGTGTCGTCAACCTTGTAACATTTTTGTTGTATCATGACTGTATCAGACTTGTTAGAAACAACATTGCAACAAGTCTGATAATGTCAACAAGGTTGTTACTGGACAAGTTGTTAGCAATCTGTTTCAAACTTGTTACAATTGGGAACAAGCAGTGCGAATTACACAACTTGTTGACAGCTTGTGAACAGTTTTGTAACAACTTGTTTGCAGACCTGTAACAACTGGTGCGTTTTTACGTGTATAGAAAAAACTTCGGTTACATCCAAATATTTCATATTTGTCTGTTTTTAATTACAGTAGCACACAAAAATGCCACTTCATTTTCCCGATTTCATTAATTTTTTCAAGAATTTTTTTCCTTCTGGCTAACAACACCCTGAATATAAACCAAACGTCATCTGACCTTCGCACGTTTGTCGTATTCCTTTCCCATTTTGATGGCTTTTTCAAAAGTGGTGCTTCTTTGATCCACTTCACGAGCGAACAGGATCTAAAAATCACACATACTGATACAGTTTATGGCGACGCGGTAACCGTAAACCTTCGAATATAAGCCCTGGGCTTATATTCGTTCCTAAACATTTTTTTGATGGGCTTATACATGGGAGGGATGGGGGGCTTTATACAGACGACATTTGATGTTAGTAATAACATGATGTTAGTAATTGTACCTGTAAACTATACTATGAACGAAAATAAATATAAACATACAGTATGTAACACACCTTCAAAAACTCATTAATAATTCATGAGAAAAACACAAAAAAAAATCAAAAGTGTGTCGTATCTTTATATGTGATAGAGATTTCCCTTGATTTGCATAAACTTTAACTTTGATTTTCTCGACTTACACAACGTATTTTTTGAAGCAATTTAAAACATTCGCAGTGCGTGTTTTATCAGACTTTATATCTGATAAAACACTGCTGCTCATATTTTAACTAGTACTTAAAATAAGTTGGTTAACATATTATAATACTGTAATGTAATTATCATCACTTGCCTGAGCTGTTGGAATCCCTGTCAAATCTTGACGAGAGTTGCATGTTTTGCTCGTTTGACCCCGTAATATACAGTCAACTCTCGTCGACTCTCATGCAACTCTTGTTCTCGTTTGACCGGGGCATAAGAGTTGAGAAAACTCTCATGCAAACTCTCGCTTCTCAACTCTCTCATCGACTCTCATGCAACTCTTGTTCTCGTTTGACCGGGGCATGAGAGTTGAGAAAACTCTCATGTAAACTCTCGCTTCTCAACTCTCATGCAATTCTTGTTCTCATGCAACTCTCATGCAAACTCTCGCTTATTCTCAACTCTCATCGACTCTCATGCAACTCTTGTTCTCGTTTGACCGGGGCATGCGAGTTGAGAAAACTCTCATGCAAACTCTCGGTTCTCAACTCTCATCTTCGTTTGATCGGGAGCTTACTGTAGTTCAGTTTAGTTTTCTTCTCATACAATGTATTCGCCTGCATTACCTTATTATGTGAATCAATTCTGGCTTGAATTTGATCGTCCAGTATCAACTGCGTAAGTTCGTCTTCCAAAGCAGGGACTGTTGTATTAAAACTTTGTGCCATTTTTCCCATGTCAGCAGAAACATATGGACTGAAATACTAAAGGGTACAGAATACACTTAATAAAGATAAAGCCTGTTACTGGACCTCGAGAATAAACAGTTTGGAACTGATAAAGTTGTCCAATAAATAAAGTTAGCTTATAATACTTTTGTTTGTGGAAACACCACGTAAATGCATTAAAATTTACTGTGAATTTATTATTTACCTGTACTATTAAATTGAGAAAACTCTCATGCAAACTCTCGCTTCTCAACTCTCATCAACTCTCATGCAACACTTGTTCTCGTTTGAATGGGCCAGGGCATGAGAGTTGAGAAAACTCTCATACAAATTCTCGCTTCTCAACTTTCATGCAACTCTTGTTCTCGTTTGACCGGGGCGTGAGAGTTGAGAAAACTCTCATACAATTTACGCAGAAACATATGGACTGAAATACTTTAGGATATCAATCGATAAAAAAGAGCGTGTTATCCCTAAAAGGAATATGAGGTGTTGCTTGCAGTTACGACTGGGCTTTTATTCCAGTAAAACGCACTTGTCTGATTATAATTTCGTCCTAATCCCATGTGAGAAGACTGCTTCTAGTTTGACCCCACCAAAAACCACAGGATTTCCTCTTGTAATGTAGTAACACTGGATCAATATAGCGAATGATTCTTACTGGACCTCTAGAGAGAACAGTTTGGAACTGATAGAGCTATCCAGTATAGCAATAAAGTTAGTTACAGTACAGTACATTTAGATTTCCTCCTGTACTAACACTGGATCAATAAGGGATGACTCTTACTGCACCTCTACGAAGACGAATTAAGGAATAGAATCGCTTTACAGTATAGTGTATTGTATCAATGTAATAACAGTCATATTTACCTGAATCAGTGCTCGATTCCGTATTTTACTGTACAAGGTATTAACATGGGACGATAAATATAGATCTAAACGGAAATTATCCTAAAGAAAATAAAACGAAATCTACAGTATAGTGTATCTACAGTAAGCCTTTTTAGAGAGACAGCTGTAGTGTGAAAGATATGTACAACAACCTGAAAAAAATGAGCAGAACCTCGACGTTTCAAGATGAAAGCTACAGACGAAATTTTGATCTAGAGAAGAAGAACGAACTTCATTACCACAGCTGGAAAGAGCATCTTAAAATGAGTAAAATTGCAAAGTTTCGTTGCGAAATGTTATAAAATGAGGAAAATATAGCCCTGTGAAGTTCGCAAATTTTGTATATATTTGCATTACGCGCGGGAAAAATAACCATTTTTGAGCCGAAAGTGGTTATTTTTACCGCGCGTAATACAAATATATACAAATTTTTCGAACTTCACAGGGCTATATTCATTTTACAACATTTAGCAACCAATCTTTGCAGTTTTACTCATTCTAAGACGCTCTTTCTAGCTGTGGTGTTGGATTTCGTTCTTCTTTCCTTGATCAAAATTTAGTCTATATACTGTAGCTGGAATCACCCATTCCAATACCTTAATACCTTAATATCATCTAAGATCTTGAGACAACTGGCGTATTGTGATTCATAAAACTTGTGCAGAACATCGCGAATCTGTGGGTCCAGTTCCAGAAATAATTTGAAGGAACTAAACGTTAAGGGTGAAAATCATGTTTAAAATGTGTGGGAACCGCTGGCACGATGGGTTATCTCTACTGTGTATATACTGTACAGTACGACCGGGTACAGTTAACTGTCTAGTAAAAACTTTGTCTTAGGGAATGTGAGAAGAGGGCTAACAATTAAGTTTGAGTACCAGGTTTCCCAGTAGAAATAAAGTTAGTTTAGTTTAGGTTTCCTCCTGTAGTAACACTATTGTAGATCAATAACAGATGATCCTTACTGCACCTCTAGAGAAAATAGTTTGGAATTGATAAATTTATGTAGTATATACAGTAAATAAAGTTATAGTTTAGTTTAGGTTTCCTCCTGTAGTGACACTGGATCAATTTACTTAATCCAAGTTCTTAGCAAAGAAGTAATGTGAATATAGTATGTGAACTATGATTTTAATTTTACAGGACGTTAGCCAGAAATAAAAAAAAATCCGCGTTTACCTGAAATTGGGAAATTTATTTTAGACTGAAGCCGGGCATTTCTTTGTGGGTCTGAGGGCATGCAGTTGCCCCCTCTCGATTTTTAAAATTTTTGTGTCTTTGAAATGGCATGTCGTGCATTTTGGGAGTAATTTTGAGCAATTGTAGTTATAAACATGTTTTTAATGGCGTATTAACAACATTGAATTTCTATAGCTATTTTCTGGCTGACCCAAATTGGGAAATTGCGACCTCAAGGTAATTGGGATAACCGCGTTTAACGCGGAATGTTTGACTGTAGCTATAACACCCTGTTTTATGTAAAAGGATTGCATGATGAAATATATGATTTACCTGTTGGAAAGAACTTTGGTTCGTAATTCCTGGCGATCAAATGTGGCCAAGGCACACAACCCCCCGTACACTGCGACATCGTGAGCAGATATCAGCTGGAAAATGATAAATTGAGTTAATTAAGATTAAGATGGATTTTTTTGTGAATGGGAATTGCGAGTGTGAGTTTTATACATTTATTAGAAATGCAACTGTAGGTCCTCGAACTATAGGAACCGAACTAGTGGCCCTAATGATTCCGGTGCAGCGCTCTACCCAACAGACAATTCCCATTATAGACTAATTTTTATCTTGGCAAAAAAAGTATATTCCATACTAAAATGAGTAAAATTGCAAAGTTTGGTTGCGGAATGTTGTAAAATGCGCAAAATATAGCCTTGCAAAGTTCGCAAATTTTGTATACTTTAATTGTATTGCGTGCGGAAATCGCTACCACATTTGGACCGAAACTATGGTATCAATTTCCGCACGCAATATACAAAAGTATATAAAATTTGCAAACTTTGCAAGGCTATATTTTCCGCACTTTACAACATTTCGCAACCAAACTTTGCAATTTTACTCATTTTAGTATGCTCTTTCTTGCATCTCCTTGCCTAGTTTTAAAATTTACTTTATAATGGGAATTGTCTACTGAGCTACAGAGGTCAGTTGTCGAGCTCTATAAGTAAGGTGATGCCAATGTAAGGCGTAGGGTAAATATCAAGATATTAGGCGCCTGAACTCGATTAGGGTCGGGCGGTTTATCGATAAAACCGAAAAACGATTTTTTTTAAAAACCGATTCAATCGATTTTTCTTTTGACAAAAAACCGAAAAACCGAAAAAACCGGGGAAAAATCGGGAAAAACACTTGAAACTTGCAGAAACAGCGCGCGAAGCGTACGTTTGTGAGTTATTCAATCGATTTTTCTTGACAAAGCTGTTTGCGCGAAGCATCGAGTATAAAGCGGATCACACGCCGACACGCGTGGAAAGAAGGCGGATTTCTGGCGTATAGCGGTGGCTTACAAACAATTCGTATTCATATTCTTTACCCTGGCTTATTTCAGATGCGCGTAAAAGCGAAAATTAGAAATATTCGACCGTATTAAAATTCGCAACCGAAATGGCCGCCATATTTTTTACCCAGCGTTTCCACTATTTTATGAAATTTCTTTCAAATTTTCATAAGGAAAGTTTCATTAAAAATCATCGGTTTTTTCGGGTTTTTTCAGATGGTGTAGACTTTCCAAAGTCCGCGGTTCGTGGAAGCGACGGACTTTTGTCACCCGCAAGCGCGCCAAATTCACCATTGCATTTTTGCTCCGGTGAAGTCAGTGAATGCTCATTATTATTCTGTACTAACGACGCCAAAACAATGAACTAGTGAAATCGACATGGTGAACGCCCACTATGTCATAATTGATTTTCGCGCCAAATGTTTCAGTAAGATTCAAAATCAGGCAAGTGACACAAGTCGCTCGCTTCCGTCTTTCTCAAGCGCTCCCTTCTTGCTACGCGCGGTCCCTAGCGAGCGACTTGGGCAAGTCTAGGCCCAACCCTAAACTCGATATAACCAATTCACCATTTGCGTAATAGACTAAATTTTGAACTAAACAAGTCTAGACAAATATTTCATCACAGCTTGAAGGAGCATCACAAAATTAGTAATATTCCAAAGTTTCATTGCAAAATGTTGTACAATTCGGAAAATATAGCCTTGCGAAATTTGTAATTTTCAGTCATTTTAGATTACAAACGGGGAATTGACAGCCCCAAACCCTTCGAGGCTGTCAATTTCCGGTTTGTAATCTAAAATGACTGAAAATTGCAAATTTCGCAAGGCTATATTTTCCGCATTTTACAACATTTTGCAACGAACCTTTGGAATATTACTAATTTTGTGATGTTCTTTCAAGCTGTAATGAAATTTTTGTTGAGATCAAAATTTAGTCTATTACGCAAATGGTCAATTGTCGAAGCGCTGCATCAGAATCACGGGGCCTTCGATTCCTGCCAGAAGGCCAATACTGTAGTTGCATTTTTCACAAACTTTAAGACTCTTCGTCTTATTCAAGATGTGTCTTTACGTATTCTTTACCTCTTTGTACTCAAAATGATCAAATTGAGCCAGTAAGAAATGTTTGGCTGCTGACTTGTACTTCTTTAATGCTAACTCTGCCAGACCTGGGCGACAAAATGGAGGGCTAACATGAAAGAAAATCCTTCAACAACTGGTGTAAAGATCACATGTGATCTTGACCAGCACGACTAGCGGGAATAATATGTCCTACTGTACCTGCTGCACATTTTAACTTGGTAGCTATGACAAGATTAGCAGGTTTTTCACGTTGCTAAAACGAAAATAAATGTATAGAAACAACTTAATCATGGATCAAATCATGATCAAGGAAGCTGATAGTTTCTGCTGGGGTCTACGTACCGTAGGCTAATCATGCATGATCAAATACGAAGTGCATGAGATCGTTTTTTCTTAACTTTCAAGTTTATATGATGATACATGTAGCTTCCTTAAATCTCGTGGCCCAGTCAAAGATGAACAAAAGCTGTCTGAGTGTTGGGAAGCAGGAGTTTGCATTTAAAATTTTCTCAACTTTCATGGCTTGAAAATACGAAACACGACCTAGAGAGTGAGATCTACTGGGACCCTTTGATTTTTACATGCAAATCTCGGTATAAATCTTGATGACAAGCTTATCGTGCTTCACTGCTTGTTGCTAATATTATTTTTCATTAATATAATGCCTCACACAGTATAAACTCAGAAAGGATCGTACAGTACACTGATTTATATGTACTATCTTGTATATCCCAGGGCACTCTCATGTGCGCTCCAGGAAGTAGTTAGTAGGACTGCAACATGAGATGTTTCTCGACTCCCAATTGGTTTGGTCGTTCTTACCTCACCCATGAGTTCAATGGAACTTTCAGCTTTGTTGACAAAATTCAAGACATGTGCCCAGTTCTTCAAAAGTGCACTGACCTGGGAAAATAGTCGAGATTAATTACCAGACACTAATTAACATCGTCAAAGGAAATTTTCTCGCACTTTGCAGGAAATTTTCGGCATCTTCTATACACTGGAATGCCATAAAATTTACAGAGTAAAAATTTTAAAGGTGTTTTGCAAGTCGAGATTCTCTTGTTCCGAGCTTGAGGTTTATCACAATGTACGGCGCCATACGTTCTATGAAATCTGTAACTTACACAGGAATTTTTTTTCTGATTTTGCTGCCAGCTACGAAGGGAAATATATTTTCTAGGCTTGCTAATATATTTATGAGACGTTCATTTCTCACGAAATTTAGCTCAAGGAACGTGTTTCCAGTACAGACTCTACCAAAGAATGTCGTCACAGAAAACTTGATTGACAAACCTTGATGACATTCAGGCACATGTTGATGATGTGTTTAGGAACAGAACAATAATCTCGCGATCTTGAATAACACTTGAGCGCATTGCTGAAAAAAACAATTAGAAAGTTTATGATCTGCTACTTAGAATTAAACCATTCTCTTTATCTATCCCCTTACTTTAAATCACCACAGTCCAAATGATGGTCACCCAAATCATCATGGCCACGTCTATATAGAGAAAAATCCCAATTATTATGAAAGAAAACATTTAAATAGTAACAAAATTCAGATGAGGATAAAACATATTCAACATAACCATTAAGGATCGATGATCAACAAATTACTGAACCAGAAAAAATACTGTAGTACTAAAAAATTTTAATCACCTTATACTTTCTTTAATCGTGTTTGCTTTGTGAGTCTTCAAGTCTGTATCCAAATGTTCTAGCTACAATAAAATAAATGTTATGGTACACAGTCAAATATACAGCCGTGGCAAGCGGCAGGGGGTGTAACAGATTACCACAGAACAGCAGAATACCTTGACGGCAGCTTTTTTATTAGTAGCTTCAATCCAATTCACGTCCATTTGGCTGTTCTCGGCTTCACCAGCTCTTGAACTACAAGAAGAAAGATAAAAGAATGGCACCAGATCAATGGCAATAAAATTGTGTTAAGTAGCTGTCAAGCTTTGAGTCTGAACAAGGCTATTTGTTGGGTGACTTCGTAATGAAGCTGAGAAACATTTTAAGATACTGTAGTCCTTAGGATGTAAAAAGTTAAACACTTAAGATTGAAACTTACCTGGCTTCACCAAGTTTAATAGCAATCTGGGCATATAATTTGGTATTGAATGTTTGTTTCACATTGTCATGAGCCAGCCTATAAAAAAAGACATACATCACATTAACCCATTGTGTGGTAGCACCCTCTCCTTGATGAGTAAAATCATCTGGCATTAGACAGAGTGCATTGCCACTTAACCCATTGAGACGCATTGGTGTTCTGAGCATTAGTGTAACACGTACAGCTACTGTACTGTATATCTGAGACCTACTTTAAAGCATCAAGCTCCAAACATGGGCAATGTTTTGCTATGAAAAGTAGTCTTCTTAACTTCGACAATCCAGCGTAGTTCAACGAAAAATAATCAAGCTCCTGAAATAGACACAAGTATGTAATATTAGGGCATAATTATTCTCTGTGAACTACACAATCTTCAAACTGTCATCTATAGCTGGGTAGTTTACAGAGTTACAAGTATGTGATATGATGTCCGAGAACAGAAATCACAAATGATGTAAATTCTTGCTGTAAAGTTGATTGTGACAGTAGTGACCTGCTTATATTATAATCTTACCAAAGTGGTAGATTCAACATTGAATTCACTGTCGACGTTTGCTTGACTTTCAGACACCAAATCCACCTGCATTGGTTCCAGGTAACCCTATAAACCCAAACCAGAAAATATGACAGTATAAAAACATTGATCACCAGATTGGAAAGATGGATGGAAGAGATTATGGGAGCATTCACCCCCCCCCCCTGAATGCCACCATTTTGAATATTTTCAGGGGGTAAATGCCTCTCATTAGCTAGACTTGCTCCAAGTCTATCTTTCATTGTCATATCGATCAACTATAGTGTACATTACATGACGTAGCACAGAGAGGCAGGACGAGAAAGAGAATCTCGGTTCAAAACTGAACAAAAAATGCAAGATTTGCTTTAATTGTTTTCCTTCCATTTTTTTCTGTATTATTTACTAATGGAACTCATGTCATTTACACTGTGCTAGATCAATATATATAAATACTGACAGAAAACAATTAAAGCAAGTCTTGCATTTTGGTTCATGCAGTTTTGAACCGAGATTTTCCGAAGTTGACATGCAAGTCTCTCTTTCTCGCCCCTCGGTACTACGTCATGTAATGTACACTATAGTGGAACGATACTAAATGACAATGAAAGGGAGACTTGGAGCAAGTCTACTCATTAGCACACTGGTTAGAAACATGGCGACAGCAATGTAACGGTTACACCGGGGTCATAACCGCGAAGACAAAAAGTCAGGTTCTGTGTGGACTGTATTCTGTGCATGTGGCAGAAGCAGTAGCGTAGCCAGCCCGACGATTTAGTCCCGCTATGCAAATATTTTTGTGTTCATTGACTGTGAAAACAATCAATTTCTAAAGAAATCAATGCATGATAATAATTTTGAATTTGCATATTTGCATTGGGCTGGCTACGCCACTGGGTAGGGCCAGGGGCCACCCTAAGGCATCTCATTTTCCTGAATGGATAGTTCTAAATTGTAAAATGGGTAGTTCTAAAACTTAAGATGGGCATTTCCAAATGTGAAGACACTGACAACTCAAAACACACAAATATTGACAAACACGTGAAGTCCAAAAGTTAAAATTTGTTAAAGTTTTGAAACTAACCTGGTCGGCTGGTCTGGCCACCAATGGCATTATAAATATTTCTGTATGTAGTAAATACAAACACCTTTCTTCAACACAAAGATTTGGCAAAAATAATAAATTTAAAACCTTTTTCTAAGCAAAATTTTATATAATTTTATACGTGCAAACGTTTTGGAAAATTTAGGTCACGAGCCCGCGAGTTTGGTGATATTATTACATACTTCATCTCAGCAAGAATATAGTGCACCAATATTAGAATTTTTTTTTAAAACATTTCTCAAAATGTGTATTAATTTTGTGCCTTGGTTTTTCAGGAAATATTCTCCAATTCACAAGCTTCATTTTATAAAACAAAGAGGGTTTTCTGCTACAAATTTGCTCCATTATATACAAAGCCATAAACTGAAAAATTCAAGCTTACATTTTGGTCGGAGAACTTTTTCTACCATAACTACGGAGATATGGAATCTACCAAGGACATATGGTCATAGATTTCTATACAGAAATTTTACAGGACTAAATTATGGTGGAATTTCAAAGTTACATAAATCTTGGAATTTTTATGGAATTGGAACTGGCCGATTTCAGCATGGCTTTTATAGAAGTTTGGTATTCTCAAAAAGAATTCATTGCTGGGGACAATTTTCTAGGAATTTTTCAAATTCTAGGAATCACTATCAACAGAGGAATAGGACTACAGCAATATATACAGTAGCATTAGTGGTAGTCGTGCTTGGAGCATCATATGCGGCTGTACCATTGTATAGAATATTTTGCCAGGTCAGACATGTTAGATGCCTTAGGCATTTATTAAATTTCTCTATGACGTACATAGAAGTCGTTTATTATCACAAGGGGTGTCTATTAGAGAGGGTAATTTATTTGATCATTTACCGTATTTCAGGCATCAGGTCTTGGTGGGACAGTGCAACAGGCTGATGCTGGAGAGAAGATCAAGAATATGACGACGAGGAAAGAACGTCTGTTGACAATTCGTTTCAATGCAGATAAAAGTGCGACCATGCAGTGGTCGTTTAAACCACAACAGTCTGAAGTGAAGGTGATTTTGGGTTATCATTACTTAAATTGTTTTAACTCATAATTATTTAACCCATTGAGCTGCAATGCACTTCAGCGCGGCCTACTTATTTTTTTTACTTGTCTAACACCATTTGTCATGATTTTCAGGTTTATCCCGGTGAAACAGCGCTGGCATTTTACACGGCGAAAAACCCGACAGATGTACCAATCACTGGAATATCAACATATAATGTGATACCTTTTGAAGCTGGACAGTATTTCAATAAAATTCAGGTATTAATAGCTGCAGTGTCCTGTAACACATCCCTCTCTGTTATTCTACTCTGGCTAACACAAGAGGATCTTGATCAAGGTTCAATTATCTAACTCCAGACAATTCTACTCGTTAGGGGGAGAGTCTTGTATATCAATGGGTTAATTAATATTTTTATTTCTTAGTGTTTCTGTTTTGAAGAACAAAGATTGAATCCACATGAACAGGTATTTGGTTGTGCTGAGCCCTCTTCCCAAACACCCCCTCTCCCCAAACACCCCC